AAGGCGCAAGCCTACCTTTCCCTCAAATATACTGACTGACTGACTGACAGTTGTTGTTCTCATCCATGAGGCCTCTCCTAATGACATGTCCCATCTCCTTCCGACTATCTCCACTTTTCATAGTTTCACTAGACGAAACAACCGAAGTTGAGCATGATGGCTACCTTCGTAACCTACCGGTTCACGTTGTCAGAGGAAATCAACAACCAAACCTTCTCACACGGGACCACACAAAATATGTGTCGGTCCTATCCTACATACATCGAATGAATTTAACTCCGCACTAGATTCCTTGTTATTGAATCATAAAAAACTATCTCGGGACAATTATATTACGCACTAATGCGGTTCACGCGTTAACTTCTTTATTTAATAGGAAACCCAACGCGGTTCTTCAAAGCTCGTTCCGTCCCCTATGTAATCGCGCCGAAGGTCGAAGAAGAGTTAGATCGCTTGCAGAAAACAGATATTATTAGACCTGCAAAGTATTCAGAACGGGCAGTCCCAATAATAATTCCTGCTCCTCAATCCAATGGTTCCGCGCGCATTTGTGGGGACTAAAAGCTGACTATCAACTCAGTAATCAAAGTTAACCTGCCTACAGACAGCGCTCTGTTTTGTATGCATTACATTCTGCGTATAAACTGACTTCCTTTTTAATACATGACAAACGTCAAATCCTACTACAGTGGATTTAACGCATTGTGATGCTTAACAATAAACGGCCGAGGGCACACAGGAACCTAATGTATAGTGACGTACACAAAACTGCCCATTGGCATTGAGCTAAAAAGCGATTTCTATAACGCAAGCCTTACAGGTCTCTGTACGGACGGCAAGCCAATCCATAGACTACTGTGGATATCGCTCGATGGAGGGAGACCGCAACTTCGGTGTGTCTCGTTAGTGCTTAGTACGTCTTAGGTGGTCCACATATGTTATACTGCGGGAACGACGTAAAGAAGAAATATACACACGTATCCCCAAGCTCTATTGCGACTACTAGTAGTGTGTGGCGCTATATTATTTCCCCCACCCTCATCTTCTTCGGACTAAAAGACCAAGGTCTTGACCATTTCGTCACAA